ACTTATTCCAGATTCTCCCGTTCTGCTGCTGATGTCGTTGATGTTTGTTCGTTTACTTCAATTCTTCACTCAGACTGGAGCATACGGTAAATTTCTTTCTTTTCTACTCGAATTTCATTTCTTATAAGTCTTCTCCCCGTTCCCTTTCTTTTCTCTCCTTCTTCTTCTTTCTACGTATGAGAAGCATGGAGTTGACATGCTAATTACTTGTCCTGTTCTGCTTTACGCGCAACACGTCCCACGCCCATCACTTTCGGTCCTTTTCCTCTTATTCTTCTTATGATCGCCTTGCCTGATACTCGCCTGCTTACTGTTACCTTGTATGGGTTGGCTGTCTGCTAAAAAGTTTCCACGTCGCACGCCTTTTTCTTCTTCTTTATCATATCTTATTCTATTCATTCCGTCTTCTTCTTTCGTCCATCTCGTCGACCGGTCACAACTGGACAAGGAACACAGCCGAACATGTAAACCTTTCTTGACTTTCTTTCTCCTTCTCTTCTCTCACGCTCTTGTTCTTTATCCCGCAAGCGAGAAGAAAAGTCCTCTTTTCACCCGCCGCCAGTCGTCTAGACTCGTCATGTTCATGTCCTCTTACATGTACAACATTGTCATTAATTCTGTTCTCCTTTGTCCTCTTTTCAGCTGCTTCTTCTTCTTCTTCTTCTGGCGACGGCTCGAACAGAACAAGAACTATTAATTGTACCTTTTTGATACCGATTGATGATACTCGATTTCGCGCGTGTTGCGTTCATGTGTACTCGTTCGTTCCCTTTCTTTGTTTTTATTTTTGATACTCTCTTTACTCGCAAGCGTGATGTGATGCAGCAAACGAGCCCACGAGTGAAAAGAACAAGATGAAAATATGCCTAGCCTGTCTGCCTGTTTGCCATGTTATCTTCGCTCTGCTTGCTTATGCCACCTCATAGTTACTCCTCTTTTGAATTGTCGTTCCCATTCCAACTGTACTGTAGCCTAGCCGTGTACTTGTACGTCCATCCCTGCCCTGTCTGTCTGCCTCTTTTAGTATATCTTCCGCTACTGATTGTTTTCCGGGCCTGGGCGATAGATAGTAGGATAGCCAACTGCCTGATACTCAGCTGTACCGACGGATATTGTATTCTGCAGAAAACAAGGACAGAACTTGAGGCTCTGGGTTCCTGCAGTGACGTCAGGGCCCTGCGTGTGCCTGGCATGGCATGCATGAAGATGCAGGCTAAGCACTTCTAGAAGGGGCAAAGTCCACTTCCATACTTACATATGTAGTACTATATGTAAGTAACTACGCCCCCCATCACGCAATCAACTAGCTAGTAAAAACGCACACAGAACGCGTCCTAAGCGAGGACGTGCAAAAAAAAAAATGCCCACACACGGATTCGAACCGGGGATCTCATCATCGCATTGGAAACTACTAGTGATGCGCTTTACCAACTAAGCCATGCGGGCTGGTTGTGGGTGTCTCTTGGGATCCTGGTGCCTCATAGTATGGAGGACGCGGTGTGTGTTTCTTGCGGGGCGTTTTCTGACTGGCGGTATTTGAAATTTACGTGTATTTACCGTATTCATCCATACCCCGATAAGTACGAAGAAGTCAAGAAGTCCAAGTAACCGGAGAGGGGCTTCTGGAGGCTGAGCATGAAGTCTGGAAGGCTGCTGAACTATTTAATTTGGTGTGATGTAAAATGACCGGATAAGGGAAATGAAAGAAAAAAAAAAGAAATGCCCACACACGGATTCGAACCGTGGATCTCGTCATAGCCTGTGGAGTACTAGTGACGCGCTTTACCAACTAAGCCATATGGGCGGATGTTGGAATCTTGACCGATCCAGTGATATGTGAGTTTGTCCATAGCAGAGAGGTATCATCCGACTGATGTAGTAGACTGGTAGGTATATAGGTTACTGGGGTTGTTGCAGGCTGGAGCAAAATATTAATGCTTGGGCTGTATGTTTGAGGCCGTTTTTCAGTGTTGCGTACATTGATCCATCGGGCTTTGAACGGTGATGCAGCGAATGGCTTTTACAAGTCTACCAGTTCAGCCATGAATGTTATACGCCATATAGCGGATACCACTGGCAAAGACAGTCGTGAGTAGAGCAGGAGCTCACAGAAGAAGAGAAGAAGATGCTGGCCCTTCTATCCAAGATACTCCTTCCTGGGCGTTTTGATATTTGGCTATGGAAGGATAAACAACGCTTCACCGCGCCTTCTACGCTGCCGGCAGAAAAAACACAACATGGCATCGACAAGAAAAGGACGACATCTTCTCTTCTCTTCATCATTATCTTCTTCCCTCTCCTCTTCTCCTCTGTCATCCTCTATCGTTACGGGAAGCTCACCTGTTTATGACCTTGCCTTTCGTCTCTGAATCCGCTTTCATCCCCGACTCTCCTGTTATCAACTCCGCCCGCCTCGCTTTTTCTTCTTCCTATATATACATACCCGAGATCACCATGAGGTTCGAAAACTGGGACGTCTTGCTCTTCCCAGAGGGGTCAAAGGTGCCTCGACAGGAGTTTAAGACCAATTGCTTCGTTACCAGGGACCATGGTATGTTATGGGGTTCCTGTCTGCCACTCCCCTATCTGCTGCTTCGGCTAACGGGCTCTCCTAGAATCACCATACCTCCAAGCCCAAGCGGTTCTTAACCCCGGACCATACTACAACCAAAATAGTGTTCAGGGAAACCCTGGCCAGTTGCCAGTGTTGACTTGTTTTGTACCTAGTTTGCCCCAAAACACTCCCTTTAGGGTATCTGTCCATAGCTGGGACAGGCCTCGTCCAACCAGGGTTATGGAAGGGCTGATGCAGCCGGACGACTCAGTTATGTTTGAAGTTAGGATATTTATCGATGGTATTTGTGCTTCGTAGGTGATTTCATGCTTGAGTTACCCCCTGCTTTAAAACTAACAGGTGAATAGGGCAAGTTTGTTCACTCAGCGGACTCTTTGGCCTCATGTCATTGGTATGTTAGCCTTGCTCCAGACGAACATCTCTTATAAACAAGTTGCTAATGAGCGGTATATGTAGATCTGAGTTCCCGTGAGTGTTGCTCATTTTTTTTATTTCCGTCAATATGCAGTAAACATATTCAAACAAGCAAACATTAACCACTTGCAGAACTCGACCGGAATGGAAACCAAGACAGCCTACGGTTTCCAATGTTCCATGAAGAGCTACTCCATCAAGCACACTGGGATGCTGGTGATATGTATGGTAGAATCCGTGTTGTAATAGCAGAGGGGTTTACTCGGCCACTTCGCACTCCACCCTTTGAGCGGGTGAGAGACATCATAGCTTTTTCTTACCAGCATGCTCCCCTTGGTAAGCTATTAACTCTAAGAAGGATAAAAAAAAGGGGAGTCCAGAGAGCTAGCTAACATAACATGCATTCACCCTGATAGCTATCTTAGAGGCGTCTGGCATTGCCTGGCCAAATCCAGGGATGTGGCAACAGCAACCAGTGCATGGCTCTCGACATTTCCTCAAACACACCGTTGGGCCTCTTTACAGTTCTGAAAAGGACGAAGATGCACATTCCCACTCACCAACACGTCATGACTTTCGGCAGCTCAACAGCCAGAATGTTCAGTTTGGGGTTGGGTTCCCTGCCATGCCATATCGACTGCAGCCCAACCCGATTCCGCCGCAGTATGGCAACCCTTGGCTAGACCGGGATGGGCCTTGGGCCGCGCCGCCGCCGCCCCAGGTTTCAGATCCGTTTGTTGACCCTTCAAAGAATGCTTGGCCACCATGGCCCATAAGGCGCCGCCATTCTACTCTGGACGATATTTCGATGCCAGATTACATTGCGTCGAGCTCTTCAAGCAGCCGTGTGATCTCTAACACGGCAGGTTTGAACTTTTCTCGTAACAAGGAGCCCGTACAAATCGCTCTAATGGATGATGAACAGTATAACCAACTGATTGAAGCCATGAGTCCAAGGAAGGTCGCAGGAGGCACCAGTCCCCCTACGAATACCCCAGTAACAGCGCCAACCGCTGTTACAGTGCCTTCAGAAACACAAGACGTACCATCTGTCGCCGCTTCTACCAAGAACCGGCACAGTGCTCTCAGGGAGCTTTCGCGGCCTGGAGATGGTGTGAGAGCAAGATCTGGTTCCAGCCTTAGGTCAAGGAACTCGTTAAATGAAGCCCCACAACAGCTTCAGACAGCTCTCCTCAGCCCCAGTCTTAATATTAGGGGCCGGAAGGAAGGAAGTTTAAGTGTCTACGAAGACGATAAAGAAAACAGTAGCGGTGATGCCTCCCCTGCTCACAGTTCGCGAAAGGCGTCCCTGACCATAGAGGCCGCAGTCACGTCGGCGGAGAGCAAGAGAAAAAGGTCAGTAAGCTCGACTCATTCACGAGGAGCAGCCGAGGCTGGGTCTCCCTGTTCCTCATCGAAGAAGATATCTCGCCGTAAACGGGATGAGCAGTTGCAGGCGGAGTTTGACGATTTCTTGTCGACAGCCAAAACAGATGCCCTTCTCTCTGAGGCTGAGCTTGAGTAGATGTTTGCGACTGGTCAATAGAGTAAACGGAGGAGGCAAAATGACATCGGACAGCACTATGGCTTAATTACTTGCTTTGAGCATCTTGTACTCACATTGTTAGGTTTTTATCCAACCAATGCAAGTAGCTTATGTAAGCAAGAGAAACGACCTTTTTCTTTTTTTCAACGTCAACCAAGAGCAAAGAATATCAAATTGATAGATTTCAAGGATGAAAGTGCTTCACCTATACCTAATGAGCATTGAAATTGGATGTAGACCGTCTTAATGGTATAAGGACGGTCAATATGTATTATCTTCCAAGACACTTCTATACCCTAAAGGGCTTTCTCGTTTCCGAGTAGGCTATTTCAGAAACTCCCAGGTATACGAGGTGAAGGCGTGAAATCTCCATGATAGCGATATCATGACGTCTTTTGCTCTAGATATTTTCCTCTCCGTTCACTCTTTGGTGGTCTTGGGACAAGATAGACACTGTTCTCTTCAAAAGATAGAATCATATGCAGATGAGGCTATATACGACGTCAAAGGATGTCTGGACATTTGAAGAATTCGAGGCAAGCCAACTGGAATATTCAACAAAAAGACTTCATAACATGAAGTTATCAAGCCCTCCCAGTATAAAAAGTGATTTTTTTTTTGTTGCTGTTTCTGCTGCCCCTGGCAACCTCCTTTCGCCTTTCCCTACAAAACAACGCGACCCTTCATCCTTCTTTCTCTCTCTCTTGCAGACTGTCAACATATAAAAAGTAATTACAAATTTCACAGATACAGCCATGGCCCCTCAACCTGGCACAGATGGCAGCTCCAGTGAATATATAACCATCAGTGACACTGACAGTGTAGGCGTCGCCGCCAGCGAGGGTATAAAGTCTCTGGTTCCAAGTCCTGTTCATGAAAACAACAGAGACACAGACAACATTCATTCTACTTCTACAGACAGCTCCATGAAATCGCCTTTTAATTCCAGGATCGCGCCTGAAGAGCTCAAAGACCTTCTCGAAGAGCTTATCAGACCGTTTCGTGACTCGATGGCGGCAGAGTCTTCAGCTCTTCCTACACTGGTTTCAGCGCCAGCACCAGATACACCTGACGCTGTTGACGCGCCTGCAGTTACTGCAGAGACGTCTACCGCTGAGACAGTGAGCCTACCAGGTTTGGCTATGTCTGCTCCGTTGCCAGTGATAGTATATCCAACTATCGAGGCTCCGGACGCGAATGTGGTTGAGTCGAAGAGTATCGACGCGTCGTTAGCTGATGATCATCAGGCTGCCAGCAGCAGCACCGATCTAGCTGACCCTGCGCCGCCCACTGACCCGTCAACCGTCGTGTCGTCTGGCGTGTCTGCTGCGGTATCTACTGTTGCTGCATGCTCTTTGGATACTTCCACTCCAACACTTGTTTCAACCATTCCTAGTACTTCTTCACCTGAGTACACCCGAAATAATACCTTACCAATACCACCCAAGCCATCTCCGCCTGCTATACGAGCTCAGGAGAAGCCAGCTAAGCTGCCAGGGATGCCACCTCCGCCCATTGTCAGCCAGTGCCACCGATTAGTGTTTGGACAGCCTAGTGTGCCTCGTGGTTCTGCAGTGCCACCGTGGAGTACTAGTAACCCATTATCCACTCCGTTTGGGCAGGGTAGCCTTTCCTCATCTGCTGTTTCTAGTCTGTCTAGGTATTCTTGCCCTCCATCCGCGGCAGCATCACCGTGGGATCATCAACAAGGTTTGATAGGCCCAGCAGTGAATTCTTCGACTGTCCCTAGCCCGGTCACCCGCCAAAGCCAAGGAAGCTTCTCTACATTTGCGAATCCTATGCCCATTCGTAAGGAAGAATCGAATGGAGCCCTGGGCACAGTCGGTCACTCTAGTCGATCAGATAGTATCGTTCCACCTCGAAGCCTTGGTCTGCCCAAATTTCTCGGTGATGTAGACACTACCAACATTGAAGCTAATGACGCAGTTTTCTATTTTGGTGTCATCTGTGTGCAGGAACACCTCACTCCATCCTTTGAGTTTCTTCGGTATTTTGGTGATACATGGGTGGTTAGACTTAAATTCGCCGGACATGAAATCTCTAAAATGCAGAGTTACCCTACAAAGGCAGCTGCCACTGCGGATGCGTGCCGCGGTGGCTTGACTATTTTGAAGGAGGCAATGCCGCTTTGGGCCGTTCCTGATCTCCCTGAGCCTGGCATCTTGTCCAACCGGTTGCGCTGGAATTCTCTATTGACCTGTAAGTCAGATCACTGTTTAGCCCCAAGCACACCTAGTAAACATCCATCGCTAACAATAACATTCGTTCGGCTGTAGCGTACTGTCAGCAAAACGGTCTTCAAAATCCTATTTATACTCAATATTCGAATTCTGACGGGTATCGCTATGAAGTTGAAGCAGCTGGGCTTTCCTTCTTTGGAGTTGAAAAATTCTACCCATCTATTGACGAGGCAGTCATTGGTTGCGCTCATGAAGCATTACACTATTTACTTGTTGCAGGTGGAGAGAATGGGGAGTTGATGTATAGAGCAGGAGGATCGGGAGTTTTGGCAAAAACAATTGCTGCCGCACCTAACAACCTGAGCAAGCTGGAGCCGAAAAAGGCGGACCAGGTAAGTCCTAAGGTGACTTCTTTTGCATGAGTCTCATCATACGTTCATACATATATACATAGGTGATATAATATGTGCTAACTATGTATTCAGTCGAAATTCCCGTTTGTTTCCTCCGGAAACACCGCTGCTCCTTCAAAAAGATCGCGAAAACGTGGTAAGGGCGGAAAAGGACAGCTTCTCGCTGAAGTTACAAATTCATCCAAGAAACCCAAAGGCTGCGAAACCAAAAATTCACAGCCTCCAACTGCTGCAAGTGCCACCAGCACAGATTCCGTCAAAGTCAGGGCGGTAGCAGGCACTGAGGGCAACAAAACTCCAGCTCCTGCTGCGGCTCCTGCTTTTTTCAACCCATCTTTAAGGGTTCAGCAATCCTCAACCAGCTTCGGGGTACCTGATGCGGCGGAATTTGCTCAGGCCATTTTCTTCCATTGCCGCACATCGGGCAATCGCTCAAAAGATAATAAAAATCCGTGTATAACCGCCAGCGAGTTTAGACAGAAGCTTAGGTCCTACGGAAACGATCTTCTTCGAGTTAAAAGTATGTATTAGCTCTGCGTTTTGTCTCTTCAAAACAGCATTATCCTATACGGGTTCACTCTCGATGTTATGTGGGTTACTAACATGGCTGGCACGTTCTTTAACAATTTTAGGCATCTGTGATCGTCTATCTATTCAGGCCCCTGATTTCCCGACGAGAGTTTTCAATGTTAAGGGAAGCCCTATGTATTTTGAGGTTGACGCATACTTCTACCGCGATGCAGGGCTTCGGCGTTTTAGGGGTATCGGTTTTGCAAAGAATCAGAATAAATCTGAAGCCGAACTATCCTGCCATAGAAACACTGTTGCCTTCTTGATGGAAGTTATTATGGGCGTCAATAAGCTACAGGGAAGTAACTGGATTGAAGAAGCAGCCATGCAGGACAAGACCGGGTTTTATCTCTGAGCCTAGCTGTTAGAGGCGGCCCTACTACTATGTCCCCGAATTTTAACACTACTCCTCTCGACTGCTGAGTGAAACGTATGGTTTGTTGTTTTTGGTAAAGCGCTGAGAATTTGCCTTCATTTGAGTTCTCCTTTTCTTCCCTCTCCATATATCTTTTACTGACGATGTGATATGTTCGAGGATTGGTGAATTAAGGTGAAAGAGATTTGGATTCCTTTGATTAACCCAAATAGCAAACTAATATGGAGGAAATATTCGCAGTTCTAGGAGAGAGGTTGATGGGCGTCATTCCTCCCATTTTTTTGACATCCCCTTAGTTTACACAAGAATATGGCTCTATACCCATTGGCTATGAGCATTATCATGTAATCAACTATGCACTTTGAGTGGCCAGGTCAAAGAGTAGCTTGTTACACATTTTAATTTACGCCGCTTCAAGAAATCGATAAGTCGATGAAGGAAAGAGAAATCATTTCAGATTTGATAGATAAGTGATCTCAAACATGGAGGTTGCTTCAAGAGACAGCTTGCAAGACATGCATACAATATAAAAAAAAAAAAAAAAAACAGATACAGAAGAGACAGGCTTTCTTAGACAGAGCATGAAAGGCCACGCCGACACCGTCGACTCTCCAGTCTCATCCAGCTAGCACAGCGGCCGGTTTGAAGGATAGAAAAGAGAACAGAACAAGGAAATGCCTAAAGCAAACATGATAAGTACAGTTGGGCTGTAGATGGGGCGAGAACGAGAGCAGTATCAACCGAAAGCTTCGACTTTAAAGCTATCTGGCACCCGTGAAAGAGGACATTCCAGGTATCCCAGACGCTTTCCTTAGCTTTATGTTGTGTTATAATCATCGTGACATAGGAAATAGGCCTGGCCCAGCAGTTAAAAGGGCAAATAGGTAGAAGAGGTAGGGAGGGAGATAGGGTAAACGATGAGGGCAAGTCATCGAATTAATGGTTAACGGTAGTGTAAAAACTGGATTGAATAAGTATAATGCAGTTACAGAACGCATGCATGCAATGTAATCAGCGAGTCGGGGATATCCAGACCAATAGACGGATGGACAGTAGGAAAGTTCATTAAAGTG